CTGATAAGACTATGGTATTAACTTTACAAATCATCTTTCCTATAGTCTAGGAGACTTAATAGAAAAAGAAAATAATTTTTTTTTAAATAATTCGCGAAAACTTTTCCCGCCAACCAAACGACTTCTCGCGCTTAAATAAACGGCTACGTGAAACTACAAACACATCACTCACACACATGTTCTCTACTTGTTTATACGTTAAGCCAAAAAGGCCTTTACTTTATTACTTGTTTCTCTCTAACTCTTAAATTCCATCGTTTCCAAGAGAAGGACGAAGCCAACCGCTGTGTTCTTATCCTCTCACCGAACCAACTCTCCTTATCACCATTGATTCCAAATCGGTAAAGTTTCTAACTTTGAATTAACTTTTTTTTGTTTCTTGAAATTTTTGTTTTCTTGTGAATCTGAAAAGTCTTGGTCTCTCTACTTAACGGATTAATCGTTCATGTATCTAAATTACCCAAATCAATGACTACCGGAGATCTCTCTAAAACCCCCAGAAAAAAAGTGGATCTACTCATTTCAGATTCTTGACAAAAAAAAAGTTTTTTTTTTAAATTATCTTGTTTTGAAGAATTCTTCATTTTTTGCAGCTAAAAATAGAAAGTTGCAATTTTTATCTGTAATTCCGGCGGAAAAATCAAAACTTTCCGATGAAGGAAGAGTAAAAGAGTCAAAAGAGAGTGAAAATGGATAATCAAAGGAGTGAAGAAAGCAGCAGCATTCAAGCTCCATGGATTCCTCAGACACCTATGAAGCCAATTGCTCCGATCTACTCAAATTCGACGGAGGAACAACAATCTAATCGGAATCAGAATCAGACAAAACAAGGGTAAGTGTGTGTTCTTGTCTTAATTTCGGAAATTTCAAAGAATTGCATGATGATGGTCAAAAGTGTTGTTTAAATTGCTTAAACCAAATGATGCATGCAGGATGAGATTGGAGATGAATGGTCTTGACCACTTGTCTTTTGGAGATTTGCTGGCTCTAGCCAACACTGCATCAGACTATTTCTCTGGTCAGACCCCTTGGGCTAATCGTAAGGCCTCACTCAGAAATGAAGAGCCGACAAGTAAGATATGACTTTGATTCTTGTCTGAAAATTGCTTTGTTGAATCTTGAGAAGATTCTGTTATATGATTCTCATTTGTTAGGAAACATGTTTTGTGCAGAGATGTTACAAAAGGGTAATGAAACAGTGGAGAGTTTCAGCTCAGTGAGTAACAATGTAGCTGAACAGATCAAGACACCCGAAAAGCCGAAGAGGAGAAAGCATAGGCCAAAGGTTGTTAAAGAAGCTAAACCGAAGCAAACTCCTAGGAAACCTGCTGCTGATGGTCAGGAAATCAAAACGCCGAGGAGGAAATACGTGCGGAAGAAAGTGGAAGTTAGTAAGGATCAAGAATCTACGCCGGTTGAAGCTGCGGTTGAACCAGCAGCTATAGCCAAGAAGATATGTAGACGAGCTTTGGATTTCGTAGACGAGAGTTTCAAACCGGAAAAAGGAGAAAATCAGTCGAACAGCAGCGATACTAAACACGCAGGCGAGACGGAACCAGCTCCTAGAGAAAAGCAGTCAGATTCCAGAGATCAAGAATCAAAAGATTGTCCTATACCAGCGCCTACCACGCCAAAGAGAAAGCGCGGCCAAAGTAAAAGAAAGGGAAAAGAACCGAAGAACAACAATGGCGGTAATCAAGAAGGTGTTGATCTTTTGATGCCACAACCTGCAAAGAGAAGGCAAGGAAAAGAACCAACCTGCGAGATAAATCTATCAGAGATTCAGTACAATGATCCTTGTGACTACCAGAATATGCGTTGGTTGTATTGCACAAACTTGCAGCAACAGGAAGGGATGGGAGCTGACACCATTTGTAGCACATCGTTCGCTGGACAACGACACGATGCACAAGAGGACGTTTCCGCCTTTCGCTCTGAGTGCTACAGTTTAACTTCTCAGTCCAGTGCTAATAGATTCATATCCGTGGAAGAGAAGTGTAAAGGTACCTTTCAAGGAGGGCAGAGTTTTGAGTCAACATCAATAAAGAAGAGAACTACAGGCCATGCTCGATACCGGAATTTGTCTTCTATAAATAAAGTTATGGAGGTATCCGAGCAGTTACACGCCGGATGTTATAGCAGACCACAGAATAATACTAACGTTCTTGTTGATACGCGAGTGACCTTGAGCAAAACGAAGCGAACTACGAAGTCTCAGAAATCACAAACCAACCAGAAAACTGTTCTTCCGAATCTTCGCCAGTATCCTGCGACGTTTCCTGGTAAATATTACCTCCACTAGTATAATTTTTGTATGTATTGAATGCATACTATTTGTTGATAATGATGATTTTCTTTACATCAGGTTTCTCTCCAGATGAAATTTGGAAAAAAATTCACTCCGTTGAAGCAATCAGCGAGCAATTGCGTGTATTAGACATCAACAGGGAGTATTCAGAAGCAGCTCTTGTTCCTTACACTATGAAAAGCCAAGGAAACGAGATTATACTCTTCAGAGGTGGCGCTGGAGCGATTGTGCCTTTGGTTCCTGTTAAAAAACGCCGTGCAAGACCAAGGGTCGACCTCNACAATGAGACAGATAGAGTGTGGAGACTTCTTATGGAGAATATTAATAGTGATGGTATCGACGGATCAGACGAGCAGAAGGCGAAATGGTGGGAGGAAGAACGAAATGTGTTTCGAGGACGAGCAGAGTCATTTATAGCAAGAATGCATCTTGTACAAGGTAATAATACACCACACAGTTTTAATTAGTAAATGATCTTTAACTTGTATGCCTGTCTTATTTATAACTTCTTGCTACGGTCTTCGGTTTTCTAACAGGGGATCGACGTTTTACACCTTGGAAAGGATCTGTAGTTGATTCTGTTGTTGGAGTGTTTCTCACTCAAAATGTTTCTGACCATCTATCAAGGTATAAGCTCTTTACATAACTCTACGTCGAAACTAAATCCAAGACAGCAACAAGTCGTAAATCTAACTCCGTTTCTAATCTTCTATTTTTCTTGTAGTTCTGCATTTATGTCACTTGCTTCAGAGTATCCTGCCCCTTCAGTACCCACCAGAAACTGTGACGTAGGAACAAGCTCGATGCCTTCTATACAAATAACTTACTTGGACTCCGAGGAATCAATGTCAAACCTGCCCGTTCATAATCTGAGTTCTGTTAATTTAAACAACACACAGCCTGATGAGGAGAAAGATTCTGTAAACAGAGATGAAACCTCTAGAAGCAGTAGTGAGATTGCCAGCCCAGTCCATGAATCAGTTGTCAAAACCACTGATTCAAAGGCGAACGTGGACTCGGATCGAAAAGACTCAAGTGTAGAAGTCGATAAGACAGATCAGACATACCTTGTCCAAGGCCTGTTTCCATCTGAAGAATCTGTACTTACATGTCAAAATTCTCTGGTTTCTGATGCTCCTCAGAATACAGAAAGATCTGGATCAAGCTCAGAGATCAACTCAAAAGGAGAGCATTACACTTCCTTTGTGAAGCTTCTACAAGATTTAGGGTCTGCTCGGTTACCAGGCCAAGGAAGAGACGTTACCAAAGCTAATACTGTCTCACTAGAAGAATCCAATCAGAAGAATCAGTATGAAAACTCAAGGCAAGGAGTTGGGGTTTCAAGCAATCCTGGAAGCTTACAAGTATCACCAAATACGTCTCCCGGTGATTGTAGCTCAGAGGTTAAGGAATTCAAATCATTGAAAAGGGCCACAAAATCTTCTGATGGTAGTAATGAACCATATTGTTTCTATCAGCAAGATGGAGATGTCTTGAGTTGTCAGAAACCTGAAAGCTCTAGCAATGTTCTTTCGACAAAACACAAACAAGACCTCCTGACAGAGACTTCGATTCCAGATATTAACGAAAGCACGAGTTGTCTTGATGTCCAAGAAGGCACAGAAGTACCATCAGGTCCTAGCTCAAGGCAGCATCAAGACTCATCATTCAAAGAGCTCAATCCTATGGATGATGCTGCCTTAAATGCAAAAGGAAAGAAGGTTTTAAAAGAGAAAAAAGAGGAGTTTGATTGGGATAGTTTAAGAAGAGAAGCACAAGGTAGAGAAGGAATAAGAGAAAAAACAGCAAGGACAATGGATACTGTGGACTGGGAAGCAATAAGAACGGCCGACGTTAGCGAAGTCGCTGAAACAATCAAGAGTCGTGGGATGAACCATAAACTTGCAGAACGTATACAGGTACAATTTTATCACTATGTGGCCAAATTTATATTGATAACCTCCATTTTATGTGATTGACTCTCAACATGAAAAATGCAGGGCTTTCTTAATAGACTGGTCACAGAACATGGAAGTATCGATCTTGAATGGTTGAGAGACGTTCCACCCGACAAAGCAAAGTAAGTTTGAAAGAAAAGTGTTTTATTTCTTCTTTATTAACAGCAATACATTGAGTATATGCATTTTCTCATATATTATACAATCATGCAGAGAGTATCTTCTGAGCTTTAGAGGATTGGGTCTAAAAAGCGTGGAGTGTGTGCGGCTTCTAACGCTGCACCATCTTGCATTTCCAGTAAGCTATGATCATTTTATTGTTGTTGTCCCTGTAAAGTGAATCATAATATATGATGTATGAACTTAAGGTAAAACTTATGTGTGACAGGTTGATACGAATGTTGGGCGCATAGCTGTTAGACTAGGCTGGGTACCACTTCAGCCGCTCCCGGAGTCACTTCAGTTGCATCTTCTCGAAATGTAAGCACTCTACAAGATGGTCCTTACCTGGAAATTGTATTGTTATCTTGACACATCTTGGTTTTTGGTTTATTCAGGTATCCTATTCTTGAATCTATTCAAAAGTATCTTTGGCCACGTCTCTGCAAACTCGACCAAAAAACATTGTAAGACCTCTCCTCATGTTTATAATTACTTAATTCTTTTTTCATACCTCATTCTAATACACCCCATTCATTAGCTAAATGTCGTATTATCTCACAGGTATGAGTTGCACTACCAGATGATTACCTTTGGAAAGGTATTTTGCACAAAGAGCAAACCTAATTGCAATGCATGTCCAATGAGAGGAGAATGCAGACATTTTGCCAGTGCGTTTGCAAGGTTCTACAACTTGCTCCCTTAAAACTTTTGTGCCATTATGAGCAAATCTGTATTCAAAATATAGCTCAGTCAATTGAAATGGCCAGTATCTTAAGTAGCTCTGCATTGGGACATAATATTTAGTAACCTTTACGCTTGTATTACAGTGCAAGGCTTGCCTTACCCGGTACAGAGAAAGAAACTGGGACACCTGATAAAAGCCCTTTGCCTCTACATCTCCCAGAGCCATTGCAGAGAGAGCAAGGGTCAGAAGTAGTGAAGCACTCAGAGCCAGCAAGCAGAGTCACATGCTGTGAACCAATCATCGAAGAGCCAGCATCGCCGGAGCCAGAATGCACACAAGTATCAATAGCTGACATAGAGGATGCATTTTATGAGGAGGATCCTGAAGAAATTCCGACAATCAGGCTAAATGTGGATGCATTGACCATTAACTTGAAGAAAATAATGGAACACAGTATGGAATTACAAGACGGAAACATGTCCACCGCTCTAGTTGCACTTACCGCTGAAGCTGCATCTCTTCCAATGCCTAAGCTCAAGAACATCAGCCAGCTAAGGACAGAACACCAAGTGTACCTACCCTTTTTTCTCTGTTCTTTGCATCTGTTAGACCAATCATTTACTCATAATGACAAACTTCCCAATACTTATAGGCTCTGCCACAAAGATATCAACATTTTTGTGCAACTTGACTTACTTGACACTTTTCTCATTTTTCTTGGTATCTTTGCAGTTATGAACTTCCAGACGCCCATCCACTTCTAGCTAAGGTATGTCAGATTACTAGATAAGGACACATGCCAAAGTGCTGTCTATATATAACATCTAATTAGCTGGTTGTGTTTGTTTGTGACGGCAGTTGGAGAAAAGAGAGACCGACGACCCANGTTCTTATTTGCTTGCAATTTGGACTCCAGGTGATCTAGGAATTATCAAAGAATCTCCAATAAACCTGCAAATATATTATCCGTTTAGTTAGATCGATAAATACAAGTTTATTTAATCACTATGGTCTTATTAAACTAGGTGAGACAGCTGATTCGATTCAACCAACTGTAAGTAAATGCATTTACCAAGCAATTGGTAAACTTTGTGGAGAGGAGACTTGTTTCTCATGCAACAGCATTAGGGAAGCAAGATCACAAACTGTGAGAGGAACCATCTTGGTAAGAACATGCATCCAAAACTCATTTTACATCCAAATTCATTGCATAGTTTATCTACAATAATATGTTGTAAATTCATGCAGATACCTTGTAGAACAGCAATGAGGGGTAGCTTCCCACTCAATGGAACATACTTCCAAGTTAATGAGGTCAGATTTTAACTCCAATATTTTCCAATTCTTTCATTGTTCATTTTACATTGAAACTTCTGATGTATTCTATTTTTATAGGTGTTTGCGGATCATGCTTCTAGTCTAAGTCCAATCGATATACCAAGAGAATGGTTATGGAACTTACCTAGAAGAACTGTATACTTTGGAACATCTATACCTTCAATATTTAAAGGTAACACTATCTTTCACCATGATTGGATTGTAATCCGTTGTGCACATAAAAGATGACGTTCTAACCACTCAAAACTAATTTTCTCAGGTTTACCGACTGAAACTATTCAACAATGCTTCTGGAGAGGTAATGCCATTACATTTCGTTTAAGCTCTACTAATTTCTTATTTTTCTTTGATTTAAGTTTACGCCATTTAGAGCTCATAGTTGGGTTTGAAACATATTTATCTTTACTTTGTAGGGTATGTATGTGTAAGGGGATTCGATCGGAAGTCAAGAGGACCGAGGCCTCTGATTGCGAGATTGCATTTCCCAGCCAGCAAAATGAAGTCACAGGCGAATCCGCCCAATCCGAGAGCTGCTTAGGTAAGCGAATAAACGCAGCTTATATGTTTAAAGCTGTGTGAAACAGAGAGGACACATTACCCAACTAGCCAATGTAAAAAAATGAAACATAAAAAGCTAACAGCATACTTTGTGCCTTAGAGTTGTAATAGGGTTTTTAAATTCCATTTTAGTGTGTCTTTATTTGTATTAATAGAAACAGCTAGTAGATGAATCTGTTTTATTTTTCTTTTTCTTCATTTAATATGTTCTCCTCAATTAGAATAGATTTGATTTGATGCACTTCTTGCCTCATGATGTGTTCAATTCAGATCTTTAAACCAAATACAATTCAGCTCGTTTGGTTTCGAATCTGAGTTTATTTTCTGAGTCGAGAGCTTGGTTTCCATCCCTATACTACAAAGAATATACGTTTTGTGTTGTTTATTTACATATTTTCGACTTTACGGTGTTCTGTTGCATGATTAGCGAATGACTGAACTATTTAGTAGTTTG